ATTTTTACTATATTTAAGTTATTATTATAACATTCTTTGTTTTGGTCAAAATATTGTCGACGCAATAGAGAATATTTTAAACAGTCGACAAGTGAACCGGTTTTTTTTAAATGTTTAAAGGCTCGAGTTTATCTGTTTTTCAATTTATATAACTCTTTCGAAAACCACGGACTTATACTTTTGCTTTTATTAACAATTACTATTGGAACATACTTTTCAAATAATTTCGTAATAATGTTATTAAAATGAGAGACACTCAATTCAATGTCACCATTATAATTAGGCCATTTTATTGTAGAAAGTTCTGTATTTAACTTTTTAAAATTAACTTTTGCAAAGTTAAACCGAGTACAGAAGCACGAAGTTTGATGATTATTATCCCGTACATTGTCTGATATTTCGACAGACATTTCCAAAGCAGGATGATATGAGTCCTCTGGTAGAACAAGAGGATTACTCTGAATAACGGAACACTTTGAAGAGGTATCAACGTATACTAAATCTAATCATTTACCAAATTTATTCGGAATCAAATTATTTTGGTTCAGACCCAACTCGGACATTTTTTCGAAAAACACTTTAAAACATGACAGATTGCAAATCGGCACGATATAGTCATCGAAAGGTTTCCACGAAACACACTGTAAATTGAAATCACCTAATACAATTATTGAATCAGCATTATTTGCCATCGAGGTAGTACTATTTATTAAAGAAGCATGCTGCATGTATACAGATAAGTCCGAATGGGGTGGTATATAAGATAGGGTTAAATAAATTAAGCAACTATTAACGTACACAAAACTTAAGAACATTTAATACTTATCTTGCAACCCAGAGTTAAATCACTAAAAAAATTTCAAATCAGTGAAAAAAATCAATTAAATTTGAAGATTTGGAAAAATCAAACACAAAAGTTCACAGTCAAAAAAATTACAGCTTTAGAGCTTGAAGTGTTGCCACCTTTATGCGGCATTTACAATATAGAATATGTATATCCGTTTCCGTGGATTACAACGTAAAAGTAACAAAAGAAGGTTAAAAAACGTCCTTGTGGCTAAAACAAAAAGTACAGTGCTTTCAAAAAACAAAAAAAAAATGTTTAAAGCAAATAAACATGAAGAATTTGTTACAAAGAACAAAAGGGGTTGGGCGATCTTGCTACTTTGGAAGAACAAAAGATACTTAGCGGGAAAGTATGAAAGGCTTCGTGTCTTAAATATACTGAACATATTCAGACTACAATGACAGAATTCAAAGTGAACAAATAATGGTTAAAAATAGTCAAGAATCCGAAGAATACATTGTCAAAAAGTTGTATGAGCATGTAGTTTAAATAATAAAAATTCCATTCGAATTTAAAAACTCAAAATGCTGCCTGATGACTACGAAGCCGCTTGTTCTCTGTTAGAACAACGGAAAATGCAAATAGGTTTTTGTATTGTACATGCTCGATTGGACGGCTAACAGAGCTGAAAAATTTCGAGCAGGGAGTTCACCATTTTCTGTTGCAGAAATGCGTATACACCAACATAAAGAGAAAAATTAAATACTTTGAACAAAAAATACAAATGCCGCTTCACATATGCGTGATAATTTTTTGTCATATAAACGATTTTTATAATGAAAATTTGATAAAATATAATTTTTTTGTACAAATGCGGCATGATAAAATGCGAAAGATTATGGAAAAAAATATGTTTTACTTTTTTAATAATTTTCTAATTTCGATTGTTACAAAATTAATAATTTATGTATGGACCTATGTACATCAATATGGAGTTCATTTGCATTCTCTGGTATGTAAACAGGTAGGAATAGAATTTTTGATATTATCACTTATCAATAAATACATGTGCGCTCACTGCTCTATATGTAAGTAGCTATGTACAAATATGCGTATGTCGTTTCAAAATAAGTAATGCATACACAAATCTACATACATACTTGTATATGCGTAAAAATGTAAGTACGTCAGCCAATAGAAAAAAAATACAAACATTCTTGTACAAAAAAAACAATTCTCTCATGTAGCATAAGCAGCATCAGAAATCAATATGACAGTTAAATCCTAAATTTTGTAGTAAATCATACAACAAAAACATTTTCATTCATGAACGCTGGCGCACATGCAATAAGCTAAGTCGATTCATTAATAAAAGCAAACGCCTTACAGAGAATGTAAAATATAGAGAAGGTCCAACAACGGACCAGCGTGTGAATTGTCAAAACCTAACAAATTACGATGAGCATGTTTCACCACAGCTAGCTCGGAAGGAGAAATTTTAACAGTAGCGCGTGAACAGAGCTGAGCATTCAATGAAAATTATGCTCAGAAATTTGCATTGATATTCCTGCCGAATGTTAGCCTTTTGGCTTAGATTTTTATACGTTTATATGCAATCATATTCATTGATATGAATTTCATTTTGCGAGTTTTTATGAATGCCTGCGAAATTGATAAGACTCTATTAGATTATGTAATTTTCAAAATAATATTTATGGTCAGTTTGGGCATTTAATAATATTATATAGTTTTTACATAATATGCATTCCCAATAAATATTTTGTATGATAATTTGTTACTAATAGTGATTAAATTTATTAAAACGTAGACATACATCTTTTATCATATTAATCTTATATAGTCATATGTACATATATCTGAACATGCGGATTTGAATTTACGCATTCAGAAATTCAAATCATAATTTTATCACTTATCAATACACTATACTATGTGCGCGCATTGATTTATATGTCAACATACATATGTATGTATATATAACAGATAACAGTAGATTTTACAAGTTTAAAATATTTTTCAATTTTAAAACATTTTTCAATTTTAAAATATTTTTCCATGACAAAAATCTCCGTCAATATGTATATCATCCATATATGTGTATATATAATATTTAAACATACATATTTACGATGATTTGTAGGCAAAGCTGTTAGAGCGGCAAGGGAAGCGGTGACAATCGTCGGCCGTTCGTTATTTTTTTTGGCATAGCTCGGATTTTCTACCATCAACACAATGTTGTGACGCTTTGTCGTCGCGTCAGTCCTTCGACACAGTGACTCTTTGACAAGAAAACAAAAAACGTGAGCTTCGGCCATTAGTTGTCCGTGGCAACGGAGATTTCTCATGAAACAATGGGTGTACTTATTTACATAGGTACATACGTTGCATATAGACAAATTAACAATTATAATGGGTACTTTCATATTTGTTTACATGCACACATAATTATACATATATTATAATATTTTGTATAAGAATATTTGGGACCGCTTGGTCTTTTCTTATCGGGTTATGTCAAGCAAGAGGTGTACAAAATCAAACCCAGAAATCTGACTGAACTGAAACAGTCAATTAAATAGATAATTAAGGCAATCCCGAATTAGGTGTCGCATATGCGTGGTTGAGCATGGAGGAATAATTAATTGTTTAAATAAAATAAAAATTTCTATACAATAAAAAAATAAATGTAATACAGTGACTAAAAAGAAACTTATTACGGTTTAATTTTGTAGCACGATTCGTTAGCCCCCCTGTATAGGCAGAATATCTTCCAATTATATGCAAAGTCGTTTGCACATTGTAAATATGCGAATCTGTAAGCCTACATTTCTTAACATTGGAATTAGCACTATTTTTCTCAATTAACACTGAAAATGCTCAATTCTACTATTTTTGAGTCCCCTGATTTTCTGTGGTGAAACACGCTCATCGTTTTCAGTTCCCCTGCGAAAAGTGAAATATTTTGATAATGGCCGCACTGTGAACCTTCTCTATAATCTACATTCTCTGCGCCTTACACATATACCGAGCATGTGTTTGCCTGCAAGCGACTTTTCGCGACGATGGCAAAGGCTAAAAATCATAAATTGAACAACTTTCTGATGTTCCCTCTAGAAGGGAAAAGTGACAACCCTGTCAACCCACAAAACAGAGAAAAAAGTGACAAAAGTAAAACATTTTTCCGTGGCTAGCAAAAGTCTGCGTCAAGATGTATGCACGTTCATATATTATATAAACATACATGTTTACAATGATTTGTAGGCAAAGCTGTTAGAGCGGCAAGGGAAGCGCTGACAATCGTTTGTTTATCATTCATCATGGCATATCCTAAGAATTCCCTGGCTAAGAAAATCAACATGTAGCATGCGTGTGAAATGCCGACGGCAAAACACAATTTTGTACTTTTGTGACCATACATGAATTTTTTTAAGAGATATATCAAAATATTTTTAAATTATTACTAATAACTCACAATAAAGTAAAAATGAATTAACATAAAATAATTTAAAAATTAATAGTTCAATAAAAGGGAATATATTTCAAACGGCATGCCAATATTCCCTGCATCATTTCTTTTCCATATTTGCCGGTTGGGCATGTTAATAGAGCTGTATTTGTACAGATTCCCCGCTGTTATAAAAGCGAGAAATGTTAGTTAAATTTCTTGCTTGTGAGGTGAATTCACCGACTGAAATTTTACAAATGTTCGCTGTCTAACCTGCACCTTCTCGTTCTTCTAAGTTCTCTGATTGAACATTTTTTTTGTTTTGAAAGGTCTAGTGGCAACTTGATTGCTGATTGTGTCATTTGCCCACCATCTGTCAAAGTAGTGTCAATGACTAGCGGGACAACTCCCAATTCGATGGTGATCGTACTTTTTGTATTAGTAGTATATTTTGACTTCAACTATAGCTCAATCTATATAATCCAGTCATTCTATCGACCTTACACGGTCATCTGTTAGAATCATATAATAAAAAATAATTAGTATTAAAAAGTTTGAATTTAAAAATTTAGATATAAATGATCCTATCTTCTGAGTTTGATTTTTCTGTGTAGTTTATGCAACATTTTATTCAAATCGGTTCAGTAGTTCACCATAATTTCATGTCTCAACAACTACTTGACCGATTAGAATAAATTTAGTTAGAAATTTAAAAAAAAATTATGAGAGTTCATTTTACTTTTGTAGGTTGGACCTTCATTCGTACACTTGGATTTAAAATCGTCGGTATTTGGACAAATTGACATTCTGCAAACTGTAACACCCATTGAACCACTTGTACAAAAAGTTTCTCACAGGTTCTACGCACGACGGGTTCTCGGACCTATGGTAAAATTGATGATTTTCGCCGAAAGTGTTATGGTAACATTTATCTTTTTATTTTTTTTTTTCTTGTATTAATTCTTATTAAAGCTTATTTATATCTTATAGTTTGAAAGAGACATGGTTATCTGGAACCACAAAGTATTTCGTAACACACCATTACTAGTTAAAGAAGATATTGCCATAAGAAGATTTCGAGTGTGGTTCTCACAATTTTATACAGAAAACAGCATGTCATTTATTGATGCACGGAAAATATTGGATTGGTAACATAGTTTATATGTTTTATTATATGTAATAAACGAAAATTCTTACAATAGTGAAGAAGTTATATTTTTTAATAAGTAAGTAAATGAAGCTGAATAGCGCAACTCCGTTAGCAGTCTCTATTCACTAATTGAGACATTTTGTAATAAAGTATCCAATCTTAAGTCACAAAACAATGTCTCAAATTTGTCACCTGATAGTAAGCTGGTCACAAAACTGATAAGAATTCTTGTTTTCCATTTGTAATATTAACGCTTCACTTATATTATCATCAAAGATATTAATCGATTGCCGATTTTTATATTTTGCAAGCAACTCAAACACGTAAAAATAAAAAAATAAAAATCAATTTCAAATAAATTTCCTAATTATTGTGATTTAAAGAAAAAAATTTTTTTTATTTCTTTTTTATTAGTAAATATGCTTTTTGGCTTTGTTATAGAAAACTCAGTATTTGTAATCTTTTTTAAAAGATACAAATTTTTTTTCATTTATGTTTTATAACATCTAATCAATTGAGAAATTATTGTGACTGTGACGTACTGAGTTAAAAAATCGTAATTTAAAATCTCAAATTTATAGACTTGTTACTGTATCAAAGTACTGAATTCCGATATAAAATGAAATGTTAAAATACTTTCTAAAATTGTAATGACTCAAATATGTTGGCACTATTTTTGAATTTCTTTCAGACAAGTTTTACAATCTATCACTAAGGCTACAGCGTTTACTGCCGTCGCTGCATTCGGTCAGGTGTAGAGGTGGTGCCTCATTACTGTTGGGAGACTCCTTGCTACTTGTTGCTTGTGTGCTTCCACGATTGTGGTTGTTGATTACGAAATGGTGATGTGATCATGGTGAACATTACTTCGAACGGATGCGGATCGAGTATTCCGGCCTCATCACTGCCCAAATGAGGACCATCCTCGAATGTCTCAGTGATCTCTTTTACTAATTTTGCGGTGTAATTTTTGTATTCGCTTAGCGCAAGTCGCAAAGCTACTAAGATAATAAGCAGTATTATTGTGGCTATAGAAACCACTCCTAAATTCAACTTCTTCTCGTAGGACGGCGATGTTATTAATAATTTTCTGTATTAATAATGCCTTAAAAGTTGTTGCCCAGGTAAGAACATTATTTCTGTTGCGTTGCGTATTGGGTGGCGTTTATTTTTTCATACTTGATGGATGGTGAACTTTTTGCCACTACACTTTTGACTGACTGCAGAGCACAAGCGGTGTTTATTTTGCTGAATTTATCAATGTCGATTGTCCGCATTTAATAGCATTAATTGCATGTATTAATTTTACCAAGGTGTATGTTTCAAAGATAGGATACTTAATTAAAAAGTACAAGTTATTCTTATTTAATAATTAATCGCATTGTCAATGCTATTAACATCATTGTTATCTATAAGATGTATCATGGTGCTACCTAAAATCAATTTAGGTCAGACTTTGAGATCGTGATCGATAGCAGTTCGAAGATTACTATTTATAGCTAGTAATGCTTCGTAAAGATCACCGATGTCTATCTATTACTTTTTCGTTGATTTTATGATAATGTCGTTTGTTAGCGTAATTTGCAAGATTTTTTCTGCATACGGGTACTAATTTTGAACTGCTTGTTAGAATCAACAGGCATATACCGTCATGGGTATAGTCTCTTGAAGTCAGGGTGCCGGCACGACTTTTAATGCAGTATTAAAAAACTAAATGCTTCTTGCCTATCCATTGTGAATATCTACAGTTCAAAATAAAGCCTCACTGCTTCGAATATCTTCATGAGTACATGAGAAAAAAAGTCCAAGAATTTTTTCGTTTCGGCATTCATTGTAGCGTGTAACATCAAATTGATAAAGTTTATCAAAGTTAGAGTTGGTGTAATCCGTTAGCTTTTGCGGTATTGTGGTCTTCAAAAAGAATGTTAATATCATTCTGGAATACAAAATATGAAATAATGAAAGAGTTAATTAGGGTAAATGAACTTCTCCTTAAGAACGGTGGAGTGAATAGATCTGTTATTCTCTATAAATGTAAGCATATATAGTATAGATAATATTTTTTGTGTTTTGTGGAATCTGAATACATTAGTATATCAATTCAAGAGTTAATTTAAAACTGTGAAATGCTACTAGGCCCTCAAAACTTATTGAAATTTTTTGGTTGACTGAGTAGCACTTACTTTGGTACTTTCCCCTGTGAACATATCTGTCAGAGGTTTTCCAATACTAGACAAACCTCAAGAAAGAAAAGAAGTCACATAAGTTTCCCGCTTGATCTACTTCCTTTTTATCAATGAAATTGAGTTATTATAATGGGAAATTGTGGGTCAAATGATTTTAGTGGTAAGAAGATTAGCTACTTCTTCGTTTTTAAAATCAGCTACGTCCATTGGATATTGGTAAAATCTGGAATAATTCGGTTTTTGCTTCGGTTGTTGGAATTATACTAGTTTTAAAGAGTAGCGACTTGTTAGGGTCAAGTAACGCTTTATTACTATTTTTAGAAACAATCTCAATCTGTTTAGGAGGACTTAGGACTTTTAATTATTTACTAATCATTTACAAACTTTCAAAATTATTAAATAATTGAATAACAAATAAACAATAAACAATTATCATCTAAAGCTAAATTCGGATACAGAAGATAATCACATACTCTTGGAATTCTCAAGAATCAAACGCAACGAAACACTTCCGAAACATTTGTATATTAAATAAAAAAAACAGATATAAGTCCAGGTACAGCAAACCATTTAATATCCCCGCCTTTCGCACAAATGTACAAATTTGAATGATTTGTCCGATTTTGCTATTAAAAATTAAATTTATAATCCAAAAATGAGAATTTTAAACTGTTATCATATTTTATTACAATATTTAAAAATTGTAGTATCTTTTGAGCAGAGATATGCACACGCAGTTTCAATGTAAGATGGCTTCTTGAATATAGTATATTGTACATACGAACAGTGTAAAAAGAAAACAAAATTTAATGATGACAGATTTATATTATTTCATAACACATCCCTTTAATAGAACATCTGACAACACTAAAAGTAGTTTAGTTTATAGTTAGTAGTTGTCAATAGATGATTTTCCAATTAAAATTTCGGCACAGTCTAGTTTATACAAATCACTTTCTGGATGCGCTTCTCCGATTAATCTGTTTTTCGCATCAAAAACCTTACATACATTGCCTTTGAACACCAGCTCTTTGTTTGCCACACCGACAAAAAATTAACGCAAAGGCTGGCAATATATTCCACATTTCAAATATAGATCTCGACCTTTTGGTCCTATTTTTACTTTCATTCTCAGTTACATTCTTCGATTGCGCAGACTTGCGAAACTCTTTATGCATATGACCTTCCTGACCACAATTCAAACATCAAAATTTAGAGCTGCATTTTGCAACATGATTGACGTCGTGACCACCTCATTCACATAATCCATTTTTAGCTGCACTAGTTTTTTCATAAACTCTACCTTGCTAGTTAAACCACTGTCTTCATACGCTGCCATTTACGAATGCGTTCTTTGCTGTTACTGCACTTGCTATATGCGAGAAACTACTCGGCTCCTCCATGAGCGTAATCTCCGCCAGTGCTCGTTCATTGCTGTCTCAATCCCGCCGCCATTTTCGAATCAACCTAACTTATCGAAAGAACCCATAACCTCTTGAGCAGAGATATGTACACGCAGGTTTCAATGTAAGATGGCGACTGCCTTTATTGAATATAATATGCATACGAACAGTGTAAAAAGAAAACAAAATTTAGTGATATTAGATTTATATTATATCATAACAGTAACAAAACAAAAGCTGGAATAAAAAGGGATATAATAGGTAAGATTTACATAGAGTGCGTTCGAGCAACGTAATAATTGTCTTGCATTGCTGTTGTTGGGAATCTTTATTCAAATATTTAGTTACAAAATAAATGTTATTTTTCGTAATAACGGCCGTTACAAATTTAGGAAAAAAAGGAATGATGTCGCCATTCGAATAATAATTTTGCGGTATTTCAATCCAATTGCTAAATGTCAGACCTCCTGAACTTTGACAGTTGGCTGAGTTGAGTAGGTTGTGACGTTTAGCAATTGCTCCTTTATTTCCAGTGAGAGTTGAGTTGGGCATCTCTTTATCTCTGCTGATGTGCAGACAAAAATTTAGTGTTGTAGATTATTTGCATAAATTGCGCGCAAAAAGGGAGAGTAGAACGTGATGATGTTGCAAGTGTTGCCAGAAATTCACGCAGAATTGGATACTTTGACAAATTTGCAACACTGCCGTCGTGTTTGCCATCTCGATTAGTCACACGATTATACCACATATATCATGTCAATATGTGAGTTATCTTAATAAAATTTAACGAACGAGCTTTTCTAATAACGTTGGATTTGCGAGTCTAAAATGGATTAAATCGGGGGAAGACTTGCTACTTATATCTCCCATGGCTTCATACCGTATATAGCAAAATTAACTGAACATATAATATTGGATAGGATTTACAGTCCGTGTCATATATATCATATATATCTATATCACCAGTCGAAATTTAAATTGTTAGTGTGATAGTTTTTAGAGTTTCCTAGAAAAATGCATGTTATGATTGTTTCACAACTATATCACTACATCAGTTAATTAATTAAAATACGTGTTTATTTTTTTTGTTTTTTTTTTTCTAAAAATGCAGAAATCCTTTGAGGCATGCTGTTTTTTACATTGTTAAGCGTATATTTCCAACTTCATTACAAGCTCTCAAAACTCTATTCTTCAACCAGTCTACGCTGATGTATTGTTTATTATTTGCACAGGACTTTCTGACAAGAAGTCCCCAAAGGTACTCAACTGGATTTTGACCTTGAGAGCAGGCAGGCCATCTCAGAAGACCAACCCCATTCTCATTACACCAAGTCCTAGTTACCCCGCTTACATGAACATTGGCGTTGTCCTGCTGAAAAAGCCATCTTTTTTCCCGGTTTTCTGGCAAAACAGGGTCACCCATGTACTTTTCAATGGTCATACGTGTCGATTGGAAAGTTAGTGGAAGTGAACCTTTACAAGAAAAAGCACCCCACACCATAAAGCTGCTACCACCGAAATTCCTTTTAAAATATGGAATGGTTCCTTCCATAAGTCCCTCTTGTAGTATTAGAACCCATCTG